TGATTTCAGTTTGGGAAATAATGGAAGACGATCATATCCAAGGAGGTTCATGATATCAAAACTCATTTCACTGCGCTCATCGTTGTAAATTTCTCACAGCGTGTCGCTAGTACTCTTGAAACGTATTTTCAACGTTCTCTCTCAGAATTCTTTCTAAATTCTAATTCTCATCAAGAAGCAGCTACGTTTGTAGAATCATGTCTGCTATCTCCGAAAAGCAGAATGCGCGATGTTGCGCATGACCTCGTCTGAAATTATTAAACAGCCACTGGACGAAATTGCGAAGTAATGATCAACGACACGCGGCCGAAACTGGCGACCACCATCGCGGGTTATAGTCAGGCGAGTCGCACGTGTAATCGTCGACATGTGTCTGTATATAACGGCAGCAACGGCAGATTGTTGTTTGGGATCGTCCTGTTTTGTTGTTACATCACAATGACATGCGGCTCTAAGATCAGCATGTGGCATGGAAAGAGTTTTAAGGATCTTCTGGCAGCTCTACCGTCAAAACACTCACCTCACTATCCGCAAATGGGCTATTGCGACCTTGACACGGATTGCGATTGGTCGTGGAACGATACCCATGGTTTTAAGAAAGTTAAAGCGCGCACCAGTCTGTCAAGAACTTTTCCGAACACGGATGCTAATAATTCCTCAAATGGTACGAAAATTTTTGAGTAATTTTCATACATTATTTTTCAAAAGAAAAATTATCATAAAAAAAAGATAATTAAAATAAATAATACGTTATTATAATCCCAAGATCATGAATTCATGACACCGAGAATTTGGTCTATACATATGTAAAACTAGAATCGTATTAAAATTAACGAAAATCCAATCTATAATCATTTTAAAATTGAAATATAATTACGATGCCATATGACACAGTAAAACTGTGTCTACGAAAATTAATTAATGTTTCATTCTCCTTTTAAGGCCACTTTCTGTGGTTCAGCGGCAAAGGGGATGCTCATATATGGTCCAAATCGATTCCGCGTACAGGTCCGCGTTGCCGTATCGAATTTTCACTTTATATGGTGGAAATGGAAAACGGATTCATAAATCTCGTCATACAAACTAACAACATGAGCTCCATCGCGGTGACAAAAAGCGGAAATAATACCTCCATGTATATGCATAAGAATATTTTTTACGATATATTGTGATAATATAAATTTTTCAGAAAATAAATCTAAAAAATATGCTTAAACGTTGTTTTAGGTGGAAGAAAATAAGTTTTTCATTACGCGCGATTGATCAGTCCTATAAATTAGTTTTAGAGGTCTATGTACCCTTTTCTAATTCGAGCATCGGCGTTGACAACCTTCGCCTAGTTAATTGCTTTTCAGGTAATTAATACAAATATTTTCAAATAATTAACGAAATATTAAGATTATCGTGTTGTATCAATGACGCCTACATTGAGAAAAAAATGCTGCTAAATGAATAAAACGATACATTGAGTATGCAAATAACTGCATGTATCACGAACTGTCACAGACGGAAGTTAATTCAACTCTATTTATTATTGACTTAATTTTACTCTTTTATTTGTAACAATAACATATCGATTTGACTTAAGGACATATAATGATAAATTAAAAGCATGTTGAATTGAAGGTATTGTTAAATCAATATTGAATTTAGTTGTATAAAATATTTATAAAGTTGACGAAACTATATAACAAAATAACAGAAACTCAATAAGTTATTAGTAGTACTAATTCCGAAATAAATTTAACTTTGACTTCGAATCAATGTAATTGATTCGAATGTTACATTTAAAAAAAATAATTGTTTTTAATTTTTACATAAGTTCTTATTTTTTTTATTATTCTTATGTAGAATTATTTTATATAGTTTCACATATAGTTCATTAATTATAATTATGCATTTTATAATTTTTATAATTTTTAAAAATGCATATTTTACAATTTTAAAAAATGATAATCGAATATGAAAAGATTCGACTCTAAGATCTCTAAAGGTAATCTAACACGCTAAGGCTGCTATTTCATTTGCGTTTTGTCGTACGACAAATGTGTGCAGGACAGAGAGGTCCTCGAATCTCTCTATCTTATAATCAATCAACAAGCTTGAAAAATTTGTCGTACGACAAAAACGCTTAAATGAAATAGCAGTCTAAGGCCAATATTATATGTGTCCGTTTTTTATCGTACGATAAATTTTTCAAGCTTGTTAATTAGCTATAGGACAAAGAGATCCGAGATTCTCTCTGTCTTGTAGTTAATTAACACGCTTGCATAATTTGTTGTACGACAAAAAATGGATCCATATAATATTGGCCTAACGCTTAGCTATAATCGCTTGTCTGAACACTTTAGCATTCGATTATTATTTGATCCATTCTGGTCACCTATCACGGAACAAGTCACAATAGATTCCAATAGGAATTATTCCGTTTTTTCTAGAAAGCACAATAAAAATCTAGGGAATAATTGAACAATTCCGAAATCCATTCCGACTTGTGCCATGATCATATTTCGCGAATAAATATATTAATTGTTAAGCAAATGTGTTAATCAATGTGAAACAATTTCTATTTGTCTATAAATAAAATATATGATTCATGTAATATTTAAAATTGTATAATACATATAATAAATAATTTATACAATTGTACAAAAAGATTCTTAGATCAAGTAAATTATATTTCAATCAAGAGATATATTCGTATTAATTATAACAAAATTGACTATATTGTTGTGTGTAATAAGATAAATGTATTGATAATTGTATATTTCAATTGTATCGAGCAGATGTGTAATCAATACAAAATAATTTCTATTTGATATGCTGATGATTCATGTAATATATTTAAATTTAATATAACAAATTATTTATAAACTATATAAAAAAATTGTTAGATTATGTAAATTGTATTTTAATCAATTTGAAGAAGTATTTATATTAACCGTTGGCAGTCAATTGACTATATCATTGATTTGTATTAATCATTTTATGTAATGAAAAAACTAATAACAGGTTTAACTTATTAAACTAAATTCAATTGCATTACAAAAGTTTTTTTATTTCATTATGTAATTAAAATAAAAAAATATTTAATGTAACTACATAATAATATATGATTGATATAAGAAAATTTTTCAATTGCTACTGTTTAATTTAGACAAACTTGTTTATTCAAACAGGAGTATGACATATTTATTTCATTAATACTGTCATTAAATTAACAAAATTATTCCCAATTAGACTGACACTGTTGATTCAACAGCATTTTTTTCTCATGTATATTTTAATGATAACTGTGGCATTTGTATATACAATGACCTTACTCTCTGTTTAATTTACATAATTCGTTCTTCATACATGGAATTTATACATTAAATTATTTAAATGAAAAATAAGATTGATTATATTATAAGACTTTTTAAGCATAATCGATGGTTGATTTTGAAGAAGATGTATTATGCGATTGCAATCATAGTATTAAAAGAAATTAATGCAGTATATAAAGTTAGTTCTATAATTGAAGTGGTAACTCTTTCGCGTGTCTATTTTTAGAATCCATTGGAGATTGTACGGAAGATATGTTTCGGTGTAACAACGGTTCCTGCTTAAACAGAACCCGTATCTGCGATTTCACGAAAGATTGTCCCGATGGCGAGGACGAAGCACTCGAGTGCGGTGCGTACGTCTTAAATTCGTTATTTTATGTTTCCTTGAATATCAGAACTTATGATATAAAATTCTTTATGCTTCGTCTTTGAGATGTAGGTTCATACAATTGGATATTTAAATATTTCACAGACAAGATTCCAAAGAATGCGAGGTGTAACTTCGAAGATGGTTGGTGCGGATGGACGAACGTTCCTGAAAGACCTCTAAATTGGACTCTTCATAAAGGTCCTACGCCAACCGAAAGAACTGGACCCAGTTACGATCATACTTACCGTAACGAAACTGGTATGTACTTGAGATTACATCAAGCAGCGAAAACACATTAGAAGAAAATTAAATTGTCATCTATTTGACAGGAACGTACGCGTTTGTAAACATGGCTTCTAAAGATATGAAATATGGCAGTCGAGGCACCATTACAAGTCCTCTATATAATCCAACACCACCTTATGCCAACAACCCTAAAAGTCCTTATTATAAATCATGTCAAGTATGTTCATATATTTATTCGGTTATTTAATGATATAATCTACCTAATATATTATATAGATGTAATATTTAATATAAGTATAATATTAATATAAGTATGTTAAATTTCTGAAAACAGAAGTATTGAATCGATATGTATATTTATTTTTAAAAAACGGTATTAAATCAAATGAAGTAATTCAAATCTGAGATCGATAAAGTCAAGTCATGAATTATAATAAGCAAAATCAAAGTGATTTAATTTAATATGAGAGAGAAAGAGAGAGAGAGAGAGAGAGAGAGAGAGAGAGAGAGAGAGAGAGAGAGAAAGAGAGAAATTATTTATTATTTAATCTTGTCTGCGGATAAGCCATTAATAATTATTCAATGTATTTTATTTTTTTATTACAAATTTTTTTTAAGGAGTATTAAAACTATTATTGCTCAGATTATACCACTTAGATTTTATTTTTGTTTACTATGAATAATATGTACACAATGCGTTTTCTCTTTGATAATATATTTGGAAAATCTAATTTGACAATTATTATTCTGATAGATATTTGCATCTAAAAATTTATTCTACTTTTAGTGAAAGATTTGTACTAGTTATTTTAACAAATATCTTAGAAATGGATAATATATTTTTAGATACGGTTTTTCTATCACAAACATGGTCCACATGCCGCATCTCTTGGACTCTTTTTGGTCCAAGTAAGACCACACGGAAATCATACCGAAAACTTATGGTGGTCCTACGGAACTAATAGCGATATTTGGTATAATGAAGCTGTTGCTCTACCTGATATAAAATATAGGTAAATACAGAAAATTATGTATATACGCATTTAAATAAAACATAAAATTTAACTAATTTTCGTTTCAAAAATAAAGAATTTAATTTTATCGAGATAAAATATCTGCAGGTATCACTTGCAATTTGAAGCGTCCAGAGGATATTCTTCCAAAAGTGATATAGCAATTGACGATATTTCTTTGAGTCGAGAATGTTTTGGCATTGGTAATTTTAATATAATTTTAAACATTCTTTATTACGTACTAACTATTTCCGGCTACTTAATTCGCATATACATATTTCTTTTCTACAGGAGTTCCACGTGAAGTTGTAGGTAATTTTAATTACTATACACCCGTTATCGAGTCCGAAATAATGCCACCGCAGCATCCAGATTTTGTAAATGAGACAGGTACATGAAGTTATGCATTTGATAAAAGTTATGCATTTAATTATACTTTTTAAATATTATTTATACATATAAATATTTATATATATAAA